TAGAAATATACTCACATGATATATCAGAAATACACATACACAAAACCTAAAAATTCCCATTAGTTTTTTTTTTCCAGAGGTCAAACATACATATAATTGATAAAATTCAAAATCAAAAGATAGAGAACAACTTCGAGAATACATGGCATCATCATTTAATAATAAGGAGTTGTCTCTATACAACAATAAATGTTGGTAGCGAAAATTCAAGGCAATGAAGTTACTGGATGACATGGAGGAAACTTAAGCAGAAGTACAGTGAGATCTATTTTCTGTATAAGGGTGAGACAACATTGAAATTGAACCATTTATTGGGATGCATAGTTGATCTTTCACATTTTGCTGGATGGAGGAAGAAATTTTGTATGATGCCCCTGGGCAAGAATTTTGCCAGTTTTTTTCTTCTTAAACTCTACGTTTATAATATTGACAATCTTCCCTACACATTATTAGTATCAGAGCTTTGATTCGATACAATGGAAGGAGAAAGAAATTTTTCATAAGTCGTTATTCTAGTTTTTTATGGCGAAAGTTATGATTTATGGGTTGTGAGAATGCAATCCTATCTTGAAGGATTGGATGTATGGGAAGTTGTAGAAGAAGATTATATTGTTGATCCACTACCTGAAAATCTCACGATAGCTGAAATGAAATTTCACAAAGAAAGAAAAACGAGGAAGACAAAAGCTAAATCATATCTGTTTGTTGGTGTTTCACAAATGATCCTCACCAGAATCATGATGCTAAAGTCACCCAAAGAAATTTGGGATTATTTGAAAGATCAATATGAAGGGGATGAGAAAATTCGAGGTATGAAAGTTCTAAACTTGATAAGGGAATTTGAGATACAAAAGATGCAAGAGTCTCAAATAATTAATGAATACTCAAACAAATTGTTAGGTATTGCTAACAAAATAAAATTGTTAGGCAAGGAATTTTCTGATTCCAGAATAGTTGAGAAAATTCTGGTAACTGTGCCATAGAGATATGAAGCATCTATTGCTTCATTGGAAAACACAAAGGATTTGTCTAATATTACTTTGGCAGAAGTGTTATATGTTTTACAAGCGCAAGAGCAACGAAGATTGATGAGAGGAGATCATGCTGCTGGTGAAGATTTTTTACTATTCATGATGGAGGTTCTCTCCAAGCCAAGAACAACAAAGGTACAAAATCATAAGTCTTTTCTGTTTGTCCTTATTGCAAGAAAAATAATCACACACTTAACAAGTGTTGATGGAGGCTTGATGTGAAATGTTGAAAATATGGTCAATTGGAATATATAAAAAAGATATTCAAATCTCAACCAGAAGAAGTCGTCAAGATTATAAAGGATGGAGTAGAAGGAGAACCTCCTCTTGCATCAACATGCTCTACAATCAACAAATCCACAGGTTGGCTTATAGACAGTGGTTGTACAAACCACATGACTCATGATCGATAATTTTTCAAAGAGTTCAACGAATCACATATTTCTAAAGTGAGAATCGATAATGGAGAACAAATGGATGTGAAAGGTACGGGAATTGCAGTTAAAAGTCATTCGGGTATCAAATTAATTTTTGATGTTTTATATGTCCTGATATTAATCATAATTTGTTAAGTATTGCTCAATTATTGGAGAAAAGTTATAAGGTGTCTTTTGAACACAAACTTTGTGTGATTAAAGATACAAATAACTTGGAAATATTCAAATTTCACATGAAAGGAAAAAGTTTCACTTTAGATTTGATGAAAGAAGAGTTTATTACAAATGAAGATATAAAAGAAAAATCAAAGAAAAAGCATGAAGAAGATTTCTTGAAGGAACTTGATGTTAAGAAGGAAAATAAAGATATAGATGAAAAAACCATTTTCAACGTCTATCAAAGAATCAACAATACTACCATGAAGTTTGAAAGAAATAAAGAAGATGAAGTTGATAAAGGAAGAAATACTTTGATGAAGAAAATGAAGTTGAACAAAGATGTGATCTTATACAAAAAGAAAAATGACAAGAAGTACAAACAAAAAAGGGGGAAATTATAAGAAAAATAAAAGAAAAAATATCAAATTCAAATAAATAAATATTAAAGTAAAAAGGAATGTTAGAAATATTATTTTATTATCTTTTATTTAAATTAGGTATTAAGAGATTTTATTATCTTTTAAGAAGAAGATAAAAGATATTAGGTTATTATTTTGATTTAGACAATTATGATTGAGATATTATTGATATTTGATATTTTATAATATTTTTACTCTATATATACATAGAGTACATGAATAGAAATATACTCACATGATATATCAGAAATACACGTAGACAACACTTAAAAATTCTCATCATAGTGCACCAAAACCAATACAAGGGATTATCACAACTAAGGTCGTGCCTAGATGAGTCAACAAAAGTCTCCAAACTAACAAAAAAAAAAGAACTAACGTCTTATTAAAAATCTCAATTGTCATTAAATGTCATAGTTAGCGAATGCACCCAGTTCAATGTCACAAATAGCATCAAGACCAATGAAACTAGCTCTAAGCCTAACCGGTAGTTAGGTGTCTTAATAAAAAAATCTTTTTAGTTAAGTTGTGCATCAGAGTTGTGCATTATGTCCATTACATGCACACACACCTTGATCAACACTAACTAATGTGTTAGGATCAACACCCGCAAATGCACCACTTAGTTTGTAATAGATTATCATGGTCAAAAATTGTTTTTTCTATTTTTTGTCCACTTAAACTATGTACAAATGTTATAATGACCAAATGATATCCTAAAAGGCAAATGAAGGTCGGGAAATTATTTATCATGAATCTTGGATGGGTATTGGAGGTTTAAAGGTTGCAAAAGTTTGTATAGGCTACATTTATAGGTTCTTGATGAATCTTGATATATTTTGGTTCAAAACCATAATAAGGGCAAATGAAGTGGATAAGATAAAGATAAGTTGCATTTGAATTAAGGAAAGGGTTAAATATGAGAAAAGAGGCTGGGTTGTGAGGTGTATAGTGGTTTGGTGTTCTTGGAAGGATCTTTATATTTTTCTTGGTTATCTTGATGTCTAGGTTTGGATGGCTTCTTTTGGTATTTCTTGGATGAGAAAAAATTAGGGCATGGTGTTGGTGGTTCTAGTCCTGAGGTTGTGGGAAGAAAGATACAAAGGCGTGGTGGAAGGTGATTTAAAGAAAGACTAAGTGCATATAAGAAATAACTTTTGAAAATACGGGAAAAGGAAAATCACTAACATCACTCAATCAATGGCTATCCAATGAAAAAAGGGACTCACTCTCTTTCACAAATACTCATGTATTATCAAATCAAAATTGTTTAGAAGGGAGACTTTTGACTTTTTCTATAGGAAGGTGAGCCAAATCCATGGAAAGAGAATGGATCTGGATCAAAATTAAGGGTTTAGGGCTACAACATTAAAATGAATCTGGATCTGGATCAAAATTAAGACTGCAAACAAAGTTAAACCTTAAACTACAACATTATTCAACTTAAATTAGACTAAAACAAAAACATGGTTGAGTTGAATCACTTCCTACATATTTATAACTCAATATAATATTTTTATAAGTTTGATCCTTTGCTTTGCTTCTAATAAAGATTTCCTTAAAAAAAAAATTCTCTTTTATCCTTTTCTTTAAATATATTTATACTCTTGTTTGCAGCCCCTCTTTATTGAGTGGGGTCTTATTTATTTTTAGTGATTACTCTTTTTTTTATCTTCACTTCTATGAATTTTTCCTAGAAGATAGTTTTGAAATAAATATCTTTAACCATAATCACATAAATTAGTTAATAATGAAATGTATCTCTTTAGAAAACACTTAACACTCAAACTAATGTTTAACCTTATGCATTAATAGGATTTTTTTTTCAAAATTAGTATTAATTTTTGTAGATAATAATTTTTTTATAATAAAATTTCAAAACACTTTTAAAATAATTTATTTGGATGTAATTCTAAAATATGTTTGTTTGTTTTAAATACATCTGTTTAATTATAAAATGGAATATATACCAAAGAGTGTACTACATTGGGAATAATTCAAAAAATGCAAAGCAAATCATGAATAGCATTACCAAGAAATGGAGGGTGTCAAACACGAGATACATGAAAGCCATGATTTTAGGCAGATTTACCAAAAGGCTTCCAATGATGAGCATTTTAGTGACGGAATTAGAGGAAAAAATTTAATTTAGTGACCCAAAAATAGGTTTTAAACTAGTTTTAAAACGATGAGCATTTTAGATCTCAAACAAGTTTGGGCATGTTTATACATTTGTATTGTTTAAACTTTGAATTAATATATTTGTAAATTCTCGACAGTGTAATTTAAGTTCTACATTCTCTCTTCCCCAGTAATAAAAATATTATACGTTCTTAGAAAAAATATACAAGTTAAGCATTTAGAAAAAGGATAAACACTCATCATGAGATCTTACCTTCCTCAAAGTTCTTCCCTTGTTTATAGCTTTTGCTAATAATCATCTTTAAACAATCTTTGAACTCCTCATTACCTCCTAAGCTTAGATTAATGACTAGTAAGTATACTTAAAATGCTCTTGCTCATGGTCCGACCAATTGAACTGAGGATAGTATTAGATTTGAACCAAGATGTTCTTCTCGGACACAGTATAATTGTAAGCTTAAGTGTTCTCAACTTACACATAAATTTCAAATTTAACCATATCCCCATTCAGAACCATATCAATTAAAAGACATGGGAGGAAATGAACACGAAAATTGGCCATTGCTGAGAAAGAAAGCCAAAGGAACATAACTAACATTGCGAAACCCCTTTGGAAATGAACATTGTTCAAGAACAAGTAGATCAAAGCTCAATGCAACACCATGGATGCCACAAAACCCTCTTATTTAGAAACCTATTTAATATTAAGCCTCTACATGAGCAACAGCTCTCATTTTACCCAATCCATCGTTGGCTGAAAACCCAACCATAATAACAATAAATCACAAACTACAAGGGAATGAGTGAACCACTCAAGCATCATCCAAAGCAAGAACCCCAGGGAGTTGCTTCCCCTCAAGAAGCTCTAAGCTGGCACCACCACCAGTGGAGATGTGGCTCATCTTATCTGCAAGTCCAACCTTCTCCACAGCAGCCACAGAGTCACCTCCTCCAATGATGGTTGTTACTCCCTTGCCACTCAGCTCTGCCAGTTTCTTGGCTATAGCCTGTGCATAAAAGGGTATAGTCATCAGTTGCTAGTCATAAAAATTTAAGTAGCAGACTTTAGATCATTTCATTAGTGCATGCAAAGATCTGTGGAGGTAAAGAAAGAGGTTTTATAGATTTACCAGGACTCAAAAAAGGCTTTATTGATATCAAACAAATCCAGAGAGAACTCTTGTCCATGTTAGAAATGGTAACTGAAATTCTAGATCATACATGTATGGTAAACTTAGAAGATAAATAAATGAACATCTTTCTTAAGTAGTCGAATGATCACTAAACTTCAATTTCTTATGTATTTATGTGGAATTATAAGAATCATACAACAAGAATTTTCACTAATATCATTTCGTCCTCAAATAAGCATTTTGACATTTCACAGTAAACAAAAAATTTCATTAATAGCATTCCCTTCTTAGGTATACATTTTGACATTTCACAGTAAACAAGAATTTTCACTAATACTATTCACTTCTTAAATAAGCATATATTAATACTAAATAAATATAAGTAATAGCAATATAGAATACTTATGCAGGTGTAAAAATAAATAAGCAAAAAATTATATTTTTAACAAAGATAAACTGTCAAATATAAATATTAAGAAAATTGAATTAAATTATACCGATACTAATATTCCTAACCTATGATAGCTACATGAAACAAGTAAATGCGAAAAGATTAAATCTCATCCTATACTACTAGCCCCACATTGAATAAGTGAAAAAGGTAAGAGGTGAGTGTTCTCATTATAGATTATGAGAGTGCATAATAAATCCTATGTGTCGCACAGGTGTTCAAAGGAAGAAAACTGACTTTCCATCATAAAAAGAAAACTAAAAAATTAGTGAAATAAGTGTTACTTGATTGTTTGAAAGATATTATTGCGGTGCAAGAATGTTTTATTATAAAGCATTGTCAATCCATTCAATTGTTTTGTTAATTTGGATCATCCTTTCAAACATAATGTATGATTTACTATTTCTAATAATCCATACCTCTGTTCCTGCAGCAAATTTATCAAACTCAAAAACACCCATTGGTCCATTCCAAATGACAGTTTGAGTGGTATCCAATGCTTCACTAAATGTCTTGATGGAATCGGGACCAATATCCAATCCCATCCATTCGTCGGGAATACTTGATGCTGGCACAATCTGAGAACATATAAACAAAGATTAAAGCATATTTAAACATTTGAATCACTACTTCTGATCATGAATATGATCAATTATTGAATATGAAAGGGTCACGTTAATTTTCATTGCTTGAAAAAAATGCAGAATAATCGTCAGTGCATTCATAGAACATTTTAAGTGTTGGAGATTGGCATTGTAAGTGCATTGGAATGTGGAAAATAAGTAAAATAAACACTCTAAATCAGTATGGATTTCCCTGGTCCTTAGTTGATCATTTATTGCAAGAGAGTCCTCCATAAACAAAGGGAGGGGTGTAAATTCTTAAGAACACAATACTAAACCAAGCACTCATAAAAATCTAGTACCTTGCTGTTAGCATCAGCGGCAAACTTGTCTGCTATGACCACATCAGTTGGGAGCAACAGAGAAACCCCTTTAGCCTTGGCCTTTTCAAGAAGTGAAGTTGCAAGGTCTAGTTTATCCGCTTCCACAAGAGATGACCCAACGGAATGACCCTGAGCCTTGTAAAAGGTAAAGATCATTCCTCCACCAAGCAAGAGAATATTCACTTTCTCCAACAAGGATTCAATAACTCCAATCTTGGAAGAAACCTTTGACCCACCCACAATAGCAGCAAATGGTCTCTTGGGGTTAGATACAGCTCCAACTAGATAATCAAGCTCCTGAAACAATGAAACAAATAACAGGTTAATCAACAGAATAAATTACACAAGTTACCCAACATATACAGTGGAGACAGCAGATACTTTCTACAAACCTTCTGCATAAGGAATCCTGCAACAGAAGGCTTCAAAAATTTAGCCACTCCTTCTGTGGAAGCATGAGCTCTGTGGGCAGTGCCAAAGGCATCATTCACATAGAGATCAGCAAGAGAAGCCAGCTTCTTTGCAAACTCGGGATCATTCTTCTCTTCCTCTTTGTAGAATCTAACATTCTCTAGAAGCAAAACACCACCTTCTGGAAGTTCTGCAACCAACTTCTCAACTTCCTCCCCGATAGAATCATTTGCAATCTTAACCTATAATCAAGAGACAGTGGCACAATGAACTAACAGTAAAATCAGTAAACAAAAAGGGACAACACCTTTTGGACGAGAGTGGCTAGAACACAAAGTGGCAAACCTCAATTCCTAGAAGTTGAGACAATCTTGGTACGAGAGGCTTCAAACTGTATTTAGGTGTAACACCTTTTGGACGTCCCTGAAAACAGCATAGTCAAGGCAAAATCATTTTTCGAATCACTAACACTAACACTCACATAACACTTATCAGACATCCACGGTCTTAAGTTAATAGTAAAACAGCAGAAATATATCCCCACGACTACATTAGTAAGAAAACAATCATGCAAAATGATATTTTTGACATATCTACCTAAATAAACTGAATTAATCAGAGGTAACCCAATTTCAATAGAGAGACATATTACCCTAGCTGGGATCAACGGAAATCAAGCTCAAAACAATAAACATAATCCAGTGTAAAACAGGAGATCCTCTCAATTAGAGAGAAATGGATAAAAAACAGTATAGTAATAAGCATCACTATCTATAGCTGTTAAATTCCATTTTTTCTTTCTCTCTCATATTCAAATTCTTAAAAAGTAAAAATAAAATAGACCATAAGATAAATCGTTGTCCCAGTTACTGTCAATTAACCAATTACACATACATAGATATCATAGCAAATAAAGAATCCAACGAACAATCACGATAGTAACAAAACTTGAAAACACAAAACAAAAACCCAGATTTCAAATAATTCCTAGACTAAAATAAAACACATCCAGATAGGGTTATAAACCATACCAAATGGCTAGATAGGATCACTTTGGCACCATAACCGGTCAAGTACTTGATGGTAGGAACAGCAGCACGGACTCTAGTGTCATCGGTGATGTTTAAGTCATCATCCAAAGGCACGTTCAGATCGACTCTAACGAACACCCTCTTCCCCTTCAAATCACCCTCCTTCAACGTTCCCACGCTCCTCTTCGTCGCCATTCTCCTGAAATCTGCAACAAGCCCAAATCCGAAACGAAAATGGGATCAGAATCCAGAAGAGGAAAGGCAGAAAGATTCAAACTTAGGGGGCGAAACCTACGAAAGGTTTGGTGGAAATCTTAGTGTAGTGAGGCAGAGATCAGGTTCGGAACGAGGTGCGTGCTAGAACGTTCTAGAAAATATATAGAGAGGTGAGTGGCACTCGTGCGTGCGGCACGTGTGAGGGGTTGTGGCTTGCTTAGCCCTGTTTGGCAAACCTTTTTCTCAGGGTTGCAGTGGGCGCAGTGGAACTAGAATAGTGGAATCTGTGGACCTGGTTAAATGCTAAGCAAACATGGCAGTTTTAGCAGCCCAATGTTTTTGCCCCTTTTTGGGTATTTCAAATTTTAGTTTTTATGAAGTTTTAATTGTAAATTTTGTTATTTAATTTTTTTAAATTTAATCATTTTGTTCCACTATTCATGTATCATCTACTTAGTACTACAAATTTGTACATGTTTGTAAGTGATTGACCCACATTTTAGAGTTCAAGGGTTAAATTTGTACAGTTTTTTTTTAGAATTTAACCCTTAAAATTATTATAATTAGAACTATAATGATATTTATAATATATAATTTAAAAAAAAACTATTTTTATTAATTGTTAAGTCTTATCATTCATCTTATATATCAATACTAATGCCATTAAGTGTTACGTAATTTTTACAATAAATTATAACTTTTCTTATCACAAACAATATTATTTAATTGGAGACAATTTGCATTAAGTGTAGGTATTTTTTAAGTACATGGTACACATTATTTAATATATTTTTACCTTTTAGTTTAGAAAAAAATATTTTTAAAGTTGAAAAAACAATATTAGTAATTTTAATTTAAAAAATACTTTAAGTAAAAGAAAATAATTTGAATTTGAAGAGAAATCAATTTGAAAAATAAAAATAATTTTAACACTTTTATAACAACAAAAATAAATAACAAAAATATAAATATAATTAATAAAAAAGAGAATTATAGTTTTATCGCTTTTTATATTTTTTTTAATAAAAAATGAAAATTATTTTACAAAAATATATATTAAACAAAAATTTTAGTTTTTAAAATTCAAAATTAAAATTATTTCTAAAAATAATAAATAAATAAATCCTAATCATATATAATATATAATTGAAGGGAGAGGGATTGGTAGAGGTCCTGATTTTTAAAAATATTTTTTTTATTCAGTAAAAATATTCTATTGTTCCTTAAAAAAAATTGTATATATAATTATATGTCTTTGTATATAATTTGTTATAGATTTTTGTATATTTAATTTAAAGGCATAACTAAACTTAAAAATTAGAACCTCCAACAGAAGTTACGTGTTATAATGTGTTCACTTGGTAAGTTGAAATTGAAAAGGATGAGATAATCTTTAATTATAGAAAAACGAAATGGACCCAAATGGGAGAATCTTTCTCTTGAGCATCTTTTTCTTTATTCTTCTATGACTTTTTTTTTTCTTTTAGAATATTCTTCTACGCCTTTGAAGTTAACCAAAGAAGAGGAAAAAAAACATAGTCATAGTGATTTGCGTCTTTAATTATACACAATTTAGAGTATTCGTCTTACATCGTTATGTCTCATGTTCCATGCTTCATGACGTATTTCCTTAATTAATGGCATTTTGGACGGTTTATAAATGGAGAAAATTTTGGTAGTAGCAGGATATGATTACGATAGATTATTTAGAATATTTGGGCTAAAAAATAAATATAATTGATAAGTTATTTAGCTGTTTTTAAATTTAAACTATTAATTATATATTGATGGATGGTCTTCCACACACTTTTACTTAAGTACTCGTATCTTTTGTATGCATCCGTAGGATATAGTTTTTAAATAGTTTAATATTATTTAAAAAAAATATTTTTGTTTTGTTTCTATAGAAGGACTCGTAAGTCCATTATATTAGGGAGAGATTCTCAAAAGCCTCCTTCCCTTCTCTCTCTTCATTTTCCTCTCCTCCTTCTCATTATCCTTTTTTCTCATGTAAATTTATTTTCATCAATAAAAATAAACACTGGTTAAAAGTTCTTTTTTTTTTAATTTAAACTATTAATTATAGTTAACGACTAGAAGATGTTAAGTTAATTCTTATATCATAAGATAAGATTTAATGGTTGAGAATAGTAAAATAATTAAAGATTAAGTATGTTTTTAGTCCCTATACTTTCATGTAAAATTAAAAATAGTCAATCTGTCATTTCACATAAAAATAATCTCTATATTTTTTAAATGAATTGAATAGGTCTCTATTTTAAATGGTGTTAAATATATAGTAACATGTCTAACAGAGATAGTATAACTAATTCATTATTTGACACGTGTAATTATTTAAAAAAAAAACTCTTCTTTAAAAAAAATAGAAATTATTTAACAGAGATTATTATTTTTTTAAAAACAAAATTAAAAAAATAGAAGTTTTTTTTTCTCCTCACGCACCAAAGCTCTTCAATTCTCATCACAACCACTTTTCATTCTCTCTTCTTTTCTCGTCACAACTACTTTTCGTTCTTTTTTCTTTTCTCGTCACACACCAAAGATCTTTTCTTTCTTCCTCTTTCTCTGTAAAGGTTGTATGAAGTCAAAGTGACTTTGAAGTTTGAAGGTTTCATCGGTTTGTTGTGGTTCGATTGGTAGTGCGATGGTGGTGCACAACGACAGTGTGCGACGGTGATATACCATAGCTAAGGTTTTCATTTCCGAAAATTAAGGCATGTTTTTTCATTTAAGAAACTAAATGTTTATTTTGTATTCTAATGCATGCATTTTTGGGTTTTGTTAAAATGATGTAGGGTTTTTCTTGAACATTTTCAAATGATCTGGACATAGATTCATTATTAAATGACTTTTAAATACTTTAAATTTGGATTTAAATGACTTATAAATGAGAAGTTTAAATTTCTTTTTAAATGGTTCTTAAATGACTTTTAAATGTTATAAATGCATATTTAAATAACTTTTAAAGCTTGACACCTTTTAATTTTATTTTTTAAATAATTATACGTGTCAAATAATGAATGAGTCATACCATTTCTATTAGACAGGTCAACATATACTTAATGTCGTTTAAAATAGAGACATATTTCAATCATTTCAAAAATATAGGAATCATTTTTATGTGAACTATGACAAAGGGACTATTTTCAATTTCACATGAAAGTATAAGGGACTAAAAACATATTTAACCCAATAATTAAAATAATATATTTGTAGGGTGTTTTTTTCAGTGATAAATTATTACATTTTATTTTTTGTTTTTAATATACTCTTTAAGAAAAACATTTGTAGTAAATTTATTTTTTTATTCTTGAAAACCGTATAAAAGATATTTTTTTATTCAGATAGATTTTTAGAATAAAATATAAAAATTAAGAGAAAAGAGTTAAAACGAAATTATTCATAATATAAAATGAAATCTAATAATTTGTCCTAAAAAAATTTATTTAAAATTTAATATAAAAATAATTAATTCATCAAAACATAAAATATCTACATTAAAATCAATAATATACAGACCTTCTCCCTTAATATATACAATAAAAATAAGATTGAAAGAAGAATAAAGAAAAATAATTTTTATTGATGATTTATATTATCTCATGATTAGAAAATAAAACACTAATATATATATATATATATATATATATATATATATATATATATATATATATAATTTCAAACATAACTTCATAAACCTTAAACTTAACACTTTTACCCACACCTTCAATCAACCAAAAATAGAAAAACACACTTATCATTGGTAACAAATCATCTATTCTAGTTATTATAAGTTGCTCAAATTAATAAAAATGTATGTTTTTCTATTTATTCAAAGAACAAACTGAACAATTTTGTTTTTATATATTGTTGTTCACTGATATTAGAAGGACCAATTTCTTCATGTGGTTTTCCATCTTTCTCAAAGTTCTGATTTGATTTTCTTATGATCACATAAGATTCTCCTTCCTTATCCACTTTGAAACGCTCTAACACCTTGGATTGGATAAAAAACAACACAAGGAAACCTAAAATCAGTAGCTATTTTTTATTTTAGTAATGATCACATATATGCAGGCAAGCAAAGATGAAGGCAAACCTAAAGTTAGTTTTTTACTAGACTAAAGAAAAAATGAATGATATGTTGTTAATAGAGCACCTTTACTCGAAGGTAGGAAATTTAACTATTAGAAGTATTGAATGATTCCCTTCTTTGAATCATGTTATATTAACACCAGGAACATAGTAAAGAATGACAATTACATCCCCTAGATTAATATAAGTGGATAAATGAGAAAAAAAAAAAAACAAAGATATATGTTCAACTCTAATTTTAAAAACTATTTAATGTGTGTTCTTTTTGAAGAAAAGTACACGAAGATCCACATTTTTAAAGGTATCAAAGGAATGTGGAACACTTTTTATCATATGATACGAGGATTCCATCGAAGTAAACCTTAACAAACCCAAATTACTTAATAGACAATACAAGTTGTTTAATATGGTAAAGAGTGAAAACATACAAGATATATTTAGTAGATATTAGATTGTATCAAATGAACTACATTCTTTAAGTAAACATTATGATTAATGATAATATTGACAAAATTTGAAAGAATTTGCTTACACAATGACATATATAAGTGAAACATTAATATCTAAGGATCCCGACAATGTCTTTAGAATAACTTATTAACATTAAAAATAATTATTATAATTTAACTTATTAGATAACATTCTTTTAAAAACATTTTGAAATTAGAAGAATTATCAAACAATACATTAGTTAATAATAAAAAGTTTGAAGATGACAAAAAAATATATAATTGTCATTCATCTTAAGAAAAATGACTAAGACGTAGAAGAATATAAAAGAAAAAACTTTAAAAATAAAAAAATCTCTCTTCAATTGGAGGAGACAAAAGAAAAAAACAAATTATTTATTTAAATAAATATTA